GGAAAATGTTTATGAAACTGCAACAACTTTGTTTTTGCAGGACACCCTGCAGCACATTTTACTATAGTTTTTCAATGAATATTTCATTGAGTCTCAACCAATGAAATATAGTTTGTGCCAGCTACAAAAACAAAGTTTCTGGAGTACCGGTTGTTGTTGTTCATTCATTCAGTTGTTTCCGACTCTTTGTGACTTCATGGACGAGCCCACGCCAGAGCTCCCTGTCGGTCGTCACCACCTCCAGCTCCTTCAAGGTCAGTCCAGTCACTTCAAGGATCCCATCCATCCATCTCGGCCTTGGTTGGCCCCTCTTCCTTTTTCCTTCCATTTTCCCCAGCATCGTTGTCTTCTCTAAGCTTTCCTTTCTTCTCATGATGTGGCCAAAGTACTTCATCTTTGCTTCTGCTACCCTTCCCTCCAGTGAGCAGTCAGGCTTTATTTCTTGAAGTATGGGCTGGTTGGATCTTCTCGCGGTCCAAGGCACTCTCAGAACTTTCCTCCAGCACCACAGCTCAAAAGCATCTATCTTCCTTCGCTCAGGCTTCCCTATGATCCAGCTCTCACATTTAAACAATTTTTAACAGCTATTAACAGTCAGGCGCTCAACCCTGACTTTGGCTTCGAACTTGCCACCTTTCAGTCAGCAGTGATTTACTGCAGCTGATTAACCAATTGTGCTACCAGCTTGGCCCATCAAGTTAATCAAGGTCAGTCTTGGTTACTACTTGGATGGGAGATCTCCTATGAATCCCAGGTGCTGTGGGCTATATTTCAGAGGAAGAAACTGGTAAAACATTCTCTGAGCATTCTTTACCTAAGAAAACCATATATTGACAGGCAACTTGAAGGTACATATGCTCCAACGCATACACACGTATTAATGTTTTTCAAAAAATCACTATATAGTTGTTGTAGTTGAGCCCATGGTTGTGGCTGATACCAATGTAAATAGAAAAGTGGATCAAGGGAACTCTGTGCCTGTGAGCCAACATGAGATTTTAAGCCCTGAAAATGATCAGTCTGTGTCTCCAGCAATTAGTGAAGGTGACATTCCAGAGCAGTGGTTCTCAACCTGGGGTCCCCAGATGTTTTTGGCCTACAACTCCCAGAAATCCTAACAGCTGGTAAACTGGCTGGGATTTCTGGGAGTTGAAGGCCAAAAACATCTGGGGACCCCAGGTTGAGAACCACTGTTCCAGAGAGATGCCGAGATGGTGCAGAGGAGTCGTTCTCTAGGGAAATGAGTTCAGAGGCTGAAATCCAAGGTGGAGAGAATGAGTTGCAAGACAGTGAGCTGGTTGATAGGAGACTCAGTTTTCGGAAACTTCATGCTGCTCAATAGAACGTCCAAAGGTCACAGCATTTGTAATAGAAGAGACCCCCTATCAGGAGTCATGGGAGAAGGCATGATTTCATGTGTATATTAGAGAGGCTAGGGGGATTTTCCAGCCAGTCAGCTCAACGTTGGCAATTGAGGCAACAGCTCTTGCCAAGTCCTAGTCAAGCTTTCTGAGCGAATTCTAGTTCAATGTCTTTGTTCCTGTTTCATGCTTCCAAGTTTGAAGGATTGTTCCTGGATTTTGGTATTGGATTCTATGCTGCCTTGTACTGCCTGTTTTTCTTGTATTCTTGTGCTGGATGTCCTGTTGCTTTGGGATTTTGGATTACTCTTGTACCTTGAATCTTGTGGACTATTTTACACATATGGACTTTGAAGTTTTTACTATTTTTGCTGAAATGCTTTTTATGTAATCTTTTTATGTAATCTTTATGACAACTGCTTTGCTGCTAACTTGGACTGGAGTGTAGGGTTAAGTACAGAGACGTTGCCTGGACTGGAGTGCAACAATAGTGACATTCACTAGTCTGTTACATACATATTGAAATTAGAGTTGTCAAATTAAAAATGGGAGCAGGCTCCTTCTCCGTCAATAGTGGCGAAGAAATGGGAATTTCAACAGGTGCAGCTTGTCATACGACCCGGCAACCAGCAACACCTGCTGAAATTCCCTCTTCCATACAACCATCAAAGGAACAGCAGCCCCCTTCAACCACTCTCATTTTCCAACTTATTTATGAAAGACACATTCTTTCCTGTTCAAACATGAGAGAGGATAATAATCCACTGAACATGTTCTATTTACATCTTGCTTTGTTGTCAAGGTAGATGTACCCAAGAAACACACATGCAAATATTTTATATGATTAATAACCTGTTCCCTCCATGACAACGGCTATATCTGGCTCTTGCTAGCAACAGCTGATTATAGGCAAAACTACTTTAAGCAGTCAGTACATTTCTGAAGCAGCCTGGTTAAACAGATGAGAGATAGTGGCTATTAATAACATAATTTTAAATAGCACAGACATTATAATAGCCTGCTGTAAAAAGTGCCTTGCTCTTAGTCTGGGTGCTCTAGCAATTAAGCCCGAGGGTCAGAACTGGGGTACACAAAGGGGGAGCCAAGCATACATATAGCAGACAAACAAATGCAAATTTTAGCAATTTAGCAGCCAGCACCAAGGCAGCAGCTTTCAGACAGACAAAGGTAATTCTGGGTTGCATTAAAAGTGAAGATGTAAACAGAACCATAGACCTAGAAGAGACCAGAAGGGCAATCCAGTCCAACCCCCTAAAAGGTAAAGGTTGTCTCCTGACATTAAGTCCAGTCATGTCTGACTCTGGGGTGTGGTGCTCATCTCCAATTCTAAGCCGAAGAGCCGGCGTTGTCCCTAGACACCTCCAAGGTCATGTGGCCAGAATAATAGATACCGCTCCAGCGGGAAGATAACGGCGCTCCATGCAGTCATCTGCATGGAGCGCCGTTATCTTCCCGCTGGAGCGGTACCTATTATTCTACTCACATTTGTATGTTTTCCAACTGCTAGGTTGGCAGAAGCTAGGGCTGACAGTGAAAAATCACTCCCCGGAATTGAACCTGCAACCTTTCGGTCAACAAACTCAGCAGCTCAGCGCTTTAGCCCACTGTGCCACCGGAGGCCATCCAATCCCCTACCATGCAGGAACACAAAATGAAAGCACTCCCAACAGGTTGCCATCTGGCTCCAGAGAAGGAATCCACCACACTCCAAGGGAGGATATTATTTATTTACAGTTTATATTCCGCCTTCTCACCCGGAAGGGAACTCAGGACAGATCACATATATACGGCAAACATTCAATGCCATTTATACAAGACAAGACTGACAAGACAGACAATTGTACACAGATAGAAGTACATTATACATAGGCTTTCCCCATCTTCGGCATCTTGAAGGCTTGTGCTTGGTTCCAGCCATGGTGCTATCGCTCTATCTCCCCTGCCAAAGAGCTTTGTTCGTAAACTTCCTCCTTGAACAAATCGCCGGCATTTTCTGGCATTTCCTTAGGTAGTAGCTTATGATTAAGTAGCACCTATTAATCTACTAACATTTTGCTTTCGAACTGCAAGGTATGCAGAAGCTCGAGCTTCGAACTGTCAACCTTTCGACTGGCAAGATTTACTGCAGTGGTGATTAACCTGCTGCGCTAAAGCCCGTTGTCAAACAGCTCTTACAATCAGGACATTCTTTCTAATGTTTAGATGGAATCTCTTTTCCTGCCATTTGAATTCATCACTCCATGTTTTAGACTCTGGAGCACTATCCATCCATCTTGCCCTTGGTCACCCCCTCTTCCTTTTTCCTTCCATTTTCCCCAGCATCATGATCTTCTCCAAGTTTCCCTGTCTTCTCATGATGTGACCAAAGTACTTAATCTTTGCCTCTAATATCCTTCTTTTCAATGAGCAGTGGGGCTTTATTTCCTGGAGGATAGACTAGTTTGGTCTTCTCGCGGTCCAAGACACTCTCAGAATTTTCCTCCAACACTTCAGTTCAAAAACGTCTATCTTCCTTCACTCAGCCTTCCTTAAGGTCCAGCTCTCACACCCATAGGTTACTACAAGGAATACCATTGCTTTAACTATGCAAATCTTCGTTGCCAGTGTGATGTCTCTACTTTTCACTATTTTATCGAGATTGGTCATTGCTCTCCTCCCAAGAAATAAATGTATTCTGATTTCCTGGCTGCAGTCTGCGTCTGCAGTAATTTTTGCACCTAGAAATACAAAGTCCGTCACTGCCTCCACGTTTTCTACCTCTATTTGCCAGTTATCAATCAGTCTTGTTGCTATCATCTTGGGTTTTTTGATGTTTGACTGCAACCCAGCTTTTACACTTTCTTCTTTCACCTTAGTTAGAAGGCTCCTCAGCTCCTCCTCGCTTTCAGCCATCAAAATGGTATCATCTGCATATCTAAATGGAGCCCCCGGTGACACAGTGGATTAAACCCCTGTGCCAGCAGGACTGAAGACCGACAGGTCACAGGTTCAAATCCGGGGAGAGGCGGATGTGCTCCCTCTATCAGCTCCAGCTCCTCATGCGGGGACATGAGAGAAGCCTCCCACAAGGATGATGAAAACATCAAATCATCTGGGCGTCCCCTGGGCAACGTCCTTGCAGACGGCCAATTCTCTCACACCAGAAGCGACTTGCAGTTTCTCAAGTCTCTCCTGACACAACAATAACAACAACAACAAAAAGCTTGTTAATGTTTCTTCCAGCAATTTTAACTCCAGCCTTGTATTTGTCAAGCCCCGCACGTCGCATGATGTGTTCTGCATACAAGTTGAATAAGTTGGGTGAGAGTATACAACCTAGTTGTATGTCTTTCCCAATCTTGAACCAGTCTGTTGTTCTGTGGTCTGTTCTAGATTTATTCTCTAGTTCAGGAATAATAATTTTACTTCTGATCTTTTCACCATACATATTGCAGAACCTTTATCAGTAGATCTTAATCACGTGTAGCACAGGAGAGACGCTTCAAACCAAAAAGGACCCAATGAAAAAAGGATTGAAATTCACTAGCCAAGCTCATGGTGTGCTATGTCAAAGGGGTTACATCTGCTCCATATGTTATATAACACACATTCACAGGTGAAATGAGAAAGGTACCATACCCATAAGTGACTTTCTCTTCAGTCCCAGGTTCATCTTTTTCCCAGATCAAAGCCACTTTGTTTGGAGAACGTTGTACATGGCGGTCCAAACAATTCACTGGATAGAAATAAATGGTAAAGGAAATGAATCGTTAAGCGCTTTAAGCAACAACAAAAAAAAACCCTGTGTATTATATTGAATTATCAGGACAAGATACTGTAAAAAGCCATAAAACAATTACAGGCCACAATCAAGGATAACAGATAGGTGTCAGCACATAATTGCTAGAAAGGAACCATGAAGGTGATGCAAGACAGATAGGAAGGTGCTGACATTGGATGCCAGGGTGAGTTAAGATAGGAAGCATTAATTTACAACAGACATGAGCAAACTTTGGCCTTCCAGGTGTTTTGGACTTCAACTCCCACCATTCCTAACAGCCTCAGGCCCTTTCTTTCCCCCTCAGCCGCTTAAGCGGCTGAGGGGGAAAAGGAAGGGGCCTGAGGCTGTTAGGAATGGTGGGAGTTGAAGTCCAAAACACCTGGAGGGCCGAAGTTTGCACATGCCTGATCTACAAGCATGATTTCATTGCAAATCCAATATAGGAATCCATAAACAGAACAAAATAAGCAACCCAAATAACTATTTTTTTTTGAATAATTTTTATTAGATTATATCTTAAGTACAACGAAAGAGGGTGAACATTCAAAAGAGGATAGGACAGTAGGAAAAAAGTATAAAAAGAGAAAGAAAAAAAAATCAAGCAGAAAAAAAACAAAAAAAATATAAAAATCTATATATATATATAAAAAAAAGGTTTGACTTCCATCTCCACATCAGGTGTATTGTCTCCAAAAAATGTTCCCTTTGTTTCAAAATAATTCTCTTATTTGCTGTTTTCTTTCTCGTAACTGTCATAAAAGGTCCAATCTGTCCTCTTTATCGGGTTTCCGGTATTTTTTTTAGAAAAAAAGTTAATTCATCCATCTCTCTTATTTCTCTAATTTTCCCTAACCATTCCTCCTTGGTAGGGATACTGTCCTGTTTCCAAATTTTTGCTAACATAATTCTTGCTGCCGTCGTAATATAAGTAAAAAGTCTGTCCTCATTTTCTTGTAATTGTAGTTCCATATCTGTAAAACCTAATAAATAATATTCCGGTTTCTTCTTATATACTTTTTTCAAAAATTTTTGTGATTCTTCATGTATCATTGACCAATACTTCACTACTTCTTTACATGTCCACCACATATGATAAAAAGTACCTGTCTGTTGGCATCCTTTCCAACATTTATCGGAAGTATTTTTATTTATTAAAGATAACTTCTTTGGAGTGGTATACCATCTGTGGAACATTTTTATCCAGTTCTCCTTTAAATCTGTTGCATAGACATATTTCAGCTTTTTGTTCCACATCTGTTCCCACTCTCTAAATTGTATGGGTCTTCTTATATTTTCTGCCCATTTTATCATACATGGTTTGACTTGTTCACGTTCCGTTAGCCAGGTTAACAATGTGTTATAGATCAATGAGATTACTTTTTTCTTTGACTTCAAAATTTTATCCCACAATGAGTCTTCCCAGGTAAAGCCTATCTTATTATCCTGCTTGATGTATTCTTTCATTTGTAAATAATGCAGCCATGTCAGATTCTTATTTTTTTCTTTTAGTTGCTGATAGGTCTTAATTTCAGCTGTCTTCTCTATTAAAATATCTTTATAAGTTGGCCACACTCTCCAACCTAATAGTCTTCTTTGGTGTGCCTCCATTGGGGAGACCCACAATGGCGTATTATTATAAAAATAATTCTTATATTTCATCCATACTCTTAGCAAAGATGCTCTTACGAAGTGATTTCCAAATTTTTTTTCTTTTTTCTCTCTGTCATACCACGTGTAGGCATGCCATCCTACTCGTAGGTCATGACCTTCTAAATTCAGACCTTTTTCATTTTCTAACAACATCCAATCTCTAATCCATAGGAGAGCACATGCGTCATGATAAGTTTTTAGGTCTGGGAATCCCAGTCCACCTCTTGTTTTTTTATCAATTAAGTTTAAGTATTTAATTCTAGGTCTTTTTCCATTCCACACAAATTTCAATATTTCTTTATTCCAACTTTTAAACATTATTTGACTTCTAATTACTGGTACATTTTGAAATAGAAACAATAATTTTGGCAACACATTCATTTTTATTAATGCTATTCTTCCTAATAGAGATAGTTTCAATGATTTCCAGTTTTTTAGGTCTTTCTGTATCTTGCTCCAAGCCATTTCATAATTGTTCTTCAGCAATTGGCCATTCTTTGCAGTTATCCAGATTCCCAAATACTTTATTTTTTTAACAATTTCCATTCCTGTATCCAAAGTTATCTTCTCCTGATTTTCCCTCTTTACATTCTTAGTTAAAATTTTTGTTTTTCCTTTATTCACTTTGAAGCCTGCCACTTTTCCAAACTCATGCATTTTCTTTATCCAATTCTGGAGATTGTTTGTTGGGTCTTCTACAATTCCTAACAAATCGTCTGCAAAAGCTTTAATCTTATATTCGTATTTACCTATTCTTACTCCCTTAATATTTGTATCTTCTCTTATTTTCCTCATCAACGGTTCTAATGCCATAATAAAAATCAGGGGAGATAGCGGACATCCTTGTCTCGTTCCTTTCGTAATTGTGAATTCTTCCGATTGTTGGCCGTTTATCCGAATTCTTGCTCTTTGTACTTCATAAATGGCATTAATTGCATTTGTAAATTTTATCCCCATGTCCAATTCTTGAATCAAAATCTTGAAGAAGTCCCAATTTAGATTATCAAATGCTTTTTCCGCATCAACTGATAATATGGCAGCTTCCTTCTGATGGTTCACTTCAAAATATTCTATCAAGTCCAAGACTGTACGTATATTGTCTTTCATATATCTTCCTGGGAGGAACCCTGTTTGGTCCTCCCCTATCCAATCCTTCAGAAATTCTTTTAGTCTTGTTGCCAAAATATTCGTGAATATTTTGTAATCTACATTCAGTAGGGAAATAGGTCTATAATTTTTAATATCCTCTGGTGTTGAACCTTCTTTATGTATCATTACTATTTCAGCTTGGTTCCAAGAATCTGGAATTATCTGGTGCAATAGTGCCTCATTCAGGACCCTTTTCAATATTGGTAATAGAGTTCTCTTCATTGATTTATAAAATCCTGCTGTAAATCCATCCGGGCCTGGGGCCTTATCTGCATCCATTTTATTCACTGCTTTATCTATCTCTTCTTCCGTAATCTCTTTATTCAGTCTTTCCCGTATCTCCTCTGAAATTTTTTGTAGTTTCAATTGACTTATATATTCAGTAATTTCCTCTTTCTTTATTCCATCACTGGTATATAATTTACTATAGTATTTCTTAAATTCTTCCATAATTTCCTTATCCGTCGTAAATGTTCTGTCTCCTTCAATTATTTTCGTTATCTGTGTGGACTGCTTCTTCTTCCGGACTTGTCTCGCCAGCCATTTCCCAGATCTATTCGCATTTTCGAACGTTTGCTGTTTCAAAAAT